GAAGGCCATTGCAAAATTAATAGCACATCCTCCTATGTGGTGTCCTTCAAAATACACTTAGGAATACTTACATCCTGCCAGGCTCCTGCTGTCCACCGGTACTGCATGCAGTCCTGCTGCCAACACCGCCTCTCAGAAGAAGGCCGGCTGCGCTGATCACACGTTTCTTCAGGCACCCGACCAAGGCCCCTCCACCTGCAGAGCACATCCCTGTGCTGAACTCCAGGGCCGCAGGTCACAGAGCACTACAGAGGGATGTAAACAGTTAACACATGCACAATTCTATTACCGTAGCAAATAATGTCACCGTGCGTTTTCTTGTTTCTTTCAAACATCGTCTGCTATGGCATCACGGCACCCTGGTGGGGCAGAGGCTATGTGTTGGCCTGAGATCTGCACGGTTGGCATTTCAAAACCACCAAGAGCTCAGTGGGAGAAAGGCTGGGTGTTCTACTCCCAGACCCGGTCTCGGGAACCCCCACAGGGTCTCTAGGAGTCCCCCTTGACTTGATGACAGCCAGTTTGGTTTGGGTTTGATATGACATCATACCATAAGCAGAAAAGACATGCAGTGTTTGCTTTATCATTGCCTACCTTGCAGTATCTATGTGAATAGATAAGTGGGTTTTCAGTACCTTGGAATAAACGTGAGACCTATCCAAGCCTTACAAAGACTTGTGTGACTGGTTAATCATTTTATTCCAGGGGCTTCATCCCAGTAGATAACTCTCCCTCTTCTGACTTTAATGTGTATGAGTCCTAGAATGTTTCAGGTACTTATGCACTTGGCTACTATTGGGGAGGTTAACAGTTCAAATTCTCCCAGAAGTGCCTCAGAAGAAAGTCCTGGCAACCTGATTTTGAAAAATTAGCCATTGAAGACAGCTACAGTGGAGCACAGTTGGATACTCTGACATACATGGGCTTTCCATGAGTTGGAATGTGATGACAATTGGTTTAGGTTCTTGTGGTTTTTTAAAAAATTCTATTAAATCATCATATAATTAATCATACACTATTCCACAACATTTCTTTTAAACACTATTTAAATACTGTGCTATATGTATATTTCCTTCCAGGCCTGCAGTAGCTGCTATAGTCATTTGCTTTTTAGGATCCACATATTGACAAACATCTGTATTAACGATTATGTTTTAATGCCCAAGAGTTTTGGGGAGCTGGTTATGTAAATTTAGATACCCTGTCTTAATCTCTCAGACAATGTTCTTATCTGTACAAAGAAGATTCTCTGTTATTTGTAAACAATTCCTAAACACATCCCAGACTTCTAATACTGACAATAGACCTCTAAAAAGGTACCATCGCTGAGGGCACTGAGGCTCTGAGGACAGGGTGCAGCTACTGCTAATTCCTGTTCAAGCAGGGTGGAAGCTCAGGTAATCTTGACTCCAGAACTGGATCCCCCACTGTGCAGCCTACCCACCTAAGGCTTGGGGTTCAGGAAGCACAGAGAGCCAGGTGTTCCAAAACCAAGTGAAAGAATCATCTAACAACAAAGCTTGACTGCATCCAAGAACGATGATGTCAACATTATTCTAGAGCAGATGGAAGGTGGCACTGATGGTTGTGTGAGGACCAGTCAGTGTCTGTCAAGTTAAGATTATAAAAAAATGTGTTCTCCGTTCTGCTCCAAATTTTCTACAGGAGTCGCAGAGTAATGATTTTTTTTCCACAAAAATACCATATATCTGGAAAATGTGTTGTGTTTTTACCAAGAGTGGAACAATTTAAACCCCGCAAAAGCTAGGAAGTTGGCTTACCATGTAGACGTGGATCCTTTTTACAAGTAGTTGTAGCACCCTTACCTTAAAGGGATTTTAAAATTTAGCTTTCTATTTGTGTGTATAAGCAGCAACCAGATACTTCCAACAGAAATTTTATATTTTATTACTTACGAAGAATATTATACATGTCAACATTACTTATATTACCACTTATCTTATGCTTGCAGAGAAAAGGCAAAAACTACCAAAAACATGATTGAGTGAGTACTTGGCTTCTATAATTCATCTCTATCAGTCACTTGAAGTTTGCTAACTCATTAAATATTTACATACAAACAATAATAATAAACAGTTGGTACGGAGCCAATGGTAATCTGTGTGTTTTCCACATGCATGATGTTAAGCAGGCTAAAATGTCTGGAGGTAGTTTTGTTTATCTAAATCTTTGGGGCAATGTTTAGCCAACAAAATAAGACTCCTGCAAACATTTTCCAGGCATACTTTCATAAATACAAACAATATATGCAAATATTTTACCTCTATGCTAGAAAAAAAAATCCTGGGGAAAAAAATCTGTGCACCAAACAAGCTTATCAAACAGTTCTTTCAGGCAAATGGAACTTTTATAACCGGCCAATATAGTCTATTGGATCGTTGACTGGAACAAGACAACACCCATCGAGACTATGGACAGCAATGATATTTTTAGTGTAGACCACATATAGAAAAATGGAATTGTATAAATATGGAATTCTATATAAAAAGCAACCTCATTTTTCAGTTTTTGAGAGATAAAAGCTTTTCAAAAGGGTGCAGTTAAAAATATGAACAAAGAATGTTGTTTAGAAAACTAAATGTTATCAATGACTTCAATTGCCAAACCCAACAGAAACGTTACAAAACGTTCTTAGTTAATCCTGCTGCCATCTTCGGTGCTGTTGAACACACTACCCTTGAGCCAGCCTGCGTTTATGAGAGAAATGCTTCCATAGCAGACGCTCTCCTCCAATTCCTTTCTTCATTCTCAGGATTCCTAAGACGTTCCTCTTTATCTGCTCACCCTTTAAATACTAGCATTTCCCAAGGCCAATTTATAACGTGCTGTTTTTTTCTTCTCCCTCTATGGTGAAAGGACATTTCTTAACATGTCCCTTCTATCTGTTGCTCTAAGCATCCTCGGTGGCGTAGTGGATTACGCTGTCTGTGAACCGAAAGGTCACAGTTTGGAACCCATTGGGGACCCAAGGGACAAACAGGAGACTTTCTGTTCCTGTAAGCCTCAATGGTGATAAGTTTGGTTTTTCAGTATCCGTTTCTCTATAAACTCCACCAGATGCAATGAAGTGTAGAAGACACTGACTCGGTTTTGTACAGTTTGGGCTTTCTTTCAGATGGGAGAGCCACTGAAAAATCAAGACCCGAGAGAATTTGGGGACCATCAATGAAGGGCCACCATCAGATCACGAGCTGAGACTGGGAGGCAGAGCGGCAGGTGGACTTCCTAACCCCCCAAGGCAGAGACCAAGGGACCACGTGATCCAGAGTCGCAGAGCTAGAGAAAGATGTGGATGCTGGCTGAGGAGAGATGCTGCTTTGGACCAGAGACTGTATCCTTAATATTTGATGATCTTGACTTGTGGTAGCCTGTTAACTTTCCTCACGAACCACCATACTCGTGACTATTGTCTGTGCGGCCATGGCAACAAATGATCGAGCTCGGCTACAGAAGTGAAGTGCTGCGGGAGGGGTGCTTTGTGACAGAGGGGGCTTGAGGGGTTGGTTGACCTCCGACAACAGGACTTGGGCTGGGGTGGTATTGGAGTCTCTTTCTCCCTCCAGAAACTGCTGGAGGTCAGACAGGGTTGCCACCCTTCCAGCCAGTGGTTCTCAACTGTGGGTCAAAGGACCCTTTCACAGATTTCCGACAGTCTTAGGAACTGAGACATCGCTCCTCTCTCCGTCTCCAGGCGGGTCCGCCCACATGCAGATACGAATTTTATTTATTTGTAATTAGAAATATATATGTTACAATATATAATTACATATTGTTTTAGATTAATCACTCTGCTTTAGTTATGTTCAATTTGTAACAAAGAAAATACATCTTGCATGTCAGATATTTGGATGATGATTCCTAACAGTAGCAAAATGACAGTTATGAAGCAGCAATGAAATAATTTTATGGTTGGGGGTGACCAAAACATGAGGAGCTGTATGAAAGGGTCACGGCATGAGGAAGGTTGAGAACCACTGCGCTAAACTCTCTTGAAGGAGCCCTAGTGGCGGAGTGGTTGCACCTTGGACAGCTAACGAACGGTCAGCAGTTTGAAACTACCAACCACTCTGAGGAAGAAAAACACAGCTTTTTACTCCTATAAAAATGCAGAGTAGTGAAATTTCACAGTGGCAGCTCTGCTCTGACCTATAGCATCACTGTGAGTTGGAACCGACTGAGTGGTACTGAGTTGGAGCCGGAAGCTCTCTCTGAGCAGTGTATTCTATGCACTAATGCTTTGCAAATTTGATATCCCTGGTGTGCATCATAATTGTGAGTTCCATTTATATATTAATGTTTTATAATTACCGCACCTGTACTGAGATGTATCCAAGGCTCCTCAAATTTTGCATTTCCAAAGAAGGACTCGTTTTCTTTATCCCAAATCAGTTCTTCCTTCCATGTCTCAGACAGAGTGTAGATGCCATCACCCATTCTTAAGTGACTCAACTAAAATGGCTTGCCTCAATACACTTCCAGCTCTTCAATATTTGCCTCACATATTTGTAAAGCCATATAAACGATATAGTTGTCAGCTTGTCAAATCTTACCTCGCTAAAAATCCAGGTGGGTAATGGGAAGAAGCCACTATGAGGCCATGGCAACAAATAAGAACACAATTGAACCTTTACGATATCCTAACTCACCAACACCGCACAGCAACGGAACTAAGACTAAGAATAGAGACGATGGCATCATGAAGTCACCTGCTATAACGCTGCACAGACTGACGGTTCACACACAGGACGGTAGAAGTATAGAAGGAAAGTTTTAGCAACTCCATTGGTATTGTAGTCTTGCCTTTTTTTAGGCAGAGATTTTTTTTAAATGCTAGAAAGTGTGGGTGGATCATTTCGCACAAATAGGTTTAGCCAGGCAGATTCCGCTTGCTGTTTACTGAATGATTATCTGAAATGTCACTCGTGAGGTCTCCGCTCTTGATGTATTTTCATAATCTCTTATTACAGATCAGAAGCATGGGCGTTTCGTGGTTCAGAGATTGGCTGCTAACTGAAAGGCTGGCAGTTCGAAGTCACTAACACTCCTGGGGGAAGATGGTGGCAGTCTGCTTCCTTAAAGAGTTACAATATTGGAAACATTACAAGGCGATTCCACCCTGCTTCAAATGGTGGCTCTCGACGATCATCCCACTAGGGGGCCGTGGTTTGGGTATTTGGGGGATGATGGCTTATGATTCTGCACACGAGGTGATGGAATACATCCT